ATAATAAATCTGTATATCCTATGCAGATAATAGATCTATATTACTAAACCCACATTCGTAAAAATAATTTTAAGTAACGTATCAAACGGTCATAAAGCTTTCTGCAGTTTTCAAAGATGTTTGTGTTTTTACATGACCTGAAGTGAAATAGCAGAAACTCAAATTGTGTTAAAAAAGAGAAGAAAGGATCAGTAAGGGTTGCGACAAAAATGTTCGGAAATATCACGTGTCAATCGAGTGCCAAGTTGGAATTTTTTTTAATTTTCTCCACTGTATATTATTAAATTTTTTTTTTTCGAAATAAAGAATTTTCGTGTTTTTTTTCTGCCTAAATTCCTCATAATTATTAATAATCTTATCAGTAGAATTAATATTTGCTGACTTCTTCTTTTAACAAGATTATAAATAATATTAAACGTTGTATATGGAACTATGAACATAAAGAAAATGTAACTCTGTCGTTGGTATGGTTGAGCAAAAAAAACTTTTTTCTAAATTTTGATTTATTGTATTGCTTTGGTTGAAAATTCGCTAGAAGAGCTTAACCCTTAAAATATTATGAATGCAGTTTTATGACACTTCAAAAAATAACTACACATCAATAATATAAACATTTATTTTCTAATATTTCAACTCCATATAAATAAATACAAAAATTAGATAACAGTCTAGACACATCATTCAATATACATATAAATGCTTTTTATTGAAAAGGCAAAAATGTTTTGTTTTGTTTATCACTCTTTGGCAGATGAATTCGAAAGAAGAAATTTGTGTCTTCAAAAATCCGCCGAATCATTTCGCTTTGAGCCTTCACAAGCTTTCTTTAATGAAAGGGACTGATTGTTAAAAGTTTTCAAAAATAATTGTCAAAAGTCGAGATCTAACCTGTGTAAGGTATTCAATTACGTACACTTAAAAGTAATTCTTGTTGAACCTCAAGTTTTATTTAAAAAGAAGTGACTTTTACTTGCAGTGAAACCTCTCTCTCGGTCGTTAATGGAGGTTCTTAGGGGTTACCTTCCATTCATTTCAAAATGTTATCGAAGGTGCATCATTTTTCGCAAATAATTTTTATTTTAGTTGTTTTGGCTTCAAAAAAACCGGATCGATGAATGAATTTTAGCGTCTGATCCTTACTGATATAATTATGAGTAAAAACAAATTGACTTATTATGAATGATAGAACTATTTTAAATAAATCAACAACTATGCATTTTTGTTTAAGTTTGTATTTAATTTTATGTCATAAAAATGAGTTAGTTTTAAAAAATGAGAAGAGATTTGCTTGATTTAGATGCTTATTTTTCTCTAAAATAATTTTTTTTTTCTAATTTAACTTTCAACTCTAAAACTAAATCCTTGAATAAGATCGTCTTGAGTGCACTCCAACATGAAGTTGTCCTTTAGAGATCGTCAAAAAGAACTCACTAAATAAAGAGTCTCACACAAATATTTTGAATACATTTTTATCTACTTATTTGTTTTGTTAAATTTTTTGTTTTTATATTTTTTCATGTTTGGTGCAGAGGTTTGAGAGGTCGCTGGGAGAAGTTTTGATGGTCTCTTCGAACAAAGTCTATGGAACGAATTATGGGGGTCCCAAAAATGATCGTAAATAGAGGAAGTCGCTGCATAGAGTTGGCTTTTCTAGGAGATTTCATTGTTTACGTAGATAAGAAGAAAATAAACTAACAAATGAGAATTTTAGAGAAAATTTAAATTAATAAAACTTAATAAACTTTTTTTTTAATTATTTTTAAATATTATCTGAAAAATTATAAATTTTAATTAGCAATAAGTTTTTTAATATTGTAGGGTATTTTTACTTTGCATCGATTCACATTTTGTCATAATATGTTACACGATTACACAATCAATTGAATTTTTACACAGACAATCGCTTTATAAAGCCATACAAACAGGAAAAAAATGATATTCAATATACTCTCGATATCTCAAAGTTGAAGAGAAGCTAAAAAAATTTGGAGATCGCGAGTTTTCGAGATAACAAGTTCAGAACTAAATGTTTTTCAAAAGTAGAAAAATATATCCTTAAATATCGTTCTAAAAAGTAAAGTCATGAAGCATAAGAAATAAATATTATGTAATGATAGTTGATTATAAATCTAAATACAACAATGATAATTTTATTTTTAAAAGTAAGACAAAAATATTTATGCATTAAATTAGCTTACAATAATTTTACATAGAGATTTTTCTGAAAAAATGCCCTTTCTATTTCGAGAAAAATTTGACAGAACAAGGTTTTGGCAAGGCTTCGGCGTAGGAATTGAAATTAACATTATGTAGATATGTAATGCCAACAATGAAAATATATTTTTGACAAAACAAGGTTTTCGAGATATCGAGAGTATATTGTACTATTATTTTTTAGCTTCAAAGCAGTACCAAATGCAGTCCAATATATTGCTCCTTTGGAGGATAATGAAAGTATAAAGTTTACAATATTTAAGAAGAAATTTTTCTATAATATTCATTAAAGAAATAAAGAAGAAAAGTGCAAAAGTTGAACAATCTGTTTTATAAACTCACTCGCAATAAAAGTGTTTTTGGTGCAATTTTATTATTTCTTTCTTTCTTTCTTTAAAGAACATATTAAATTGGTATACAGGTTGATTCCGAATTATTGTTTATAAATAATTTACATACAGGTCAAGACCATGATAACAAGCAAGAACCCTATGGAGAAGCGCAATGTTCGCTATATGCCCACAAACCATTTATTTAAAACTGCATTTTTGAGAACTTTGGGAAGTGCATATTATAGCTTCACTTGCTTTAAAACTTTTTTTTGAATAAGAATTTTGTGTTAACTCCTGTATTTGTGCCATAAAATTATCATAATTGCGACCAGTATTCCAGCCTGGTTTTCTTGGTCATGCAGCGCATTTAAATTTCGTTTGCAAATCAGCCCATAATATGCATTTTTAGAATCCATACGAAAAGTGTAAGCAAAAAGTTATAAATAGTGGCAATCGCAAATTAATATTTATAGCGAGGTAAAAAAAAAAAATCGAAATTTGACGATTGAATCTAGGAACATCAAAACAGGTTTTTTCAGACTAGAAATTGTTTCGAATAATCGTCCTTCAAAATTTCACTGTTTCTGCTTGCAATTAAATTTATCTTGTTGTTTATTACACATGCCTGCCTGTGCTGAAATTTTTTACGTTTCCTAAGCAATTATATTTTATCCTCTTTTAAATATTAGTTTACGACTCCCCACGTGCATTCCATATCTCCAATGTGCAGTCATGTTTGATATATTGGGGGAAACGGAAAGTAATGTCGTTTATGTGCAGTTGATAATTGTTATGAAGATTTTATTTTTAATCAATAATGTATTCACCCTCGTTAGCAACAACCTTTTAATGCCGGATAGAAAATGAATAAAGCAAATAAATTGGTTTTTAAGTCCAACGAATGTCTAATGCCGAAACGACATTACTTTCCAGTCCCCCTAATCGATCCAAAAATGCATACAATGGGCGGTCTATATGAAATACACTCTGTATCCATGATCCTTAGTCATATCATATTCTTGACCTAAATGTAGATTTTTAAGCACTTATTTAGAATCCCTCTCTATTAATAAATGCATAAATCACCCTTTATGAATCATTACGTATGAAAAATTTTACATAAATGAATTATTTTTTTATAAAAGTACCTATAGCCGTAAGTAATAAATCATATTTTTTTTGAGAACATAAAATTCATAATATTTTGTTAAATAGTTGGCGTAGATCAATATTTGGTACTGATATATTAATATTGGCATCAAAGACAAGGTCATCAAATGCTTTTAGTTTATTTAGATATCAACAATGTTTTTTGTAATATTTCTTGAATATATTGCATGATGTATAGTCAATATCATGTCACCAGAAATGTCATTACCACACACTACCGTAATTTTACCAGATTTTTTTTTCTTTCTCTTATTCGTTTTAATATGCTTCAAAAAGCAAAGTTATATAAAAATTTAATTGGTTAAAAGTAATGAATTGTTTTTAATAGTTATTACATGCAATCATGATTTTGATTGCAGTTATTGACGCAATTAAAATATCATGATTAATTATCAAGATTACTTAATTAAATATTAATAATAATAATTATTATTACATTATAATAATAATAATAATAATTATTACATTATTAATTTTATTATGATTTAAAGTAATAATGATCAGCGTTTACAAGTAATCATGAAAGCGTACAATTAATTATTTAATCATGGACAACGAATGCAGGAAAACATTATTAAAAGTAATTATATGATTATTAATTACAAGTGATCATATTTATTACTTGCTATTACAATGTATCAGCGGTATATTTCTTAAGTGTTTCTTTCAATATATTATAGCACGAAACACAATTTACAATATAAATAAATAATAATTTTATGATATTTCATTTTTTGTTGCGTATAATGAAATAAAGGTTTCCCAACAAAAATATTTCAGTTTAATAATAAATGTAATTTAAATAGTGGGCTATGATTACTTGATTACTAGTAATTAAATAATTTCATTCAATTATAATCCTTTGCAACTCCTTATCATGATTGATCTTAATCACGATTACATGTTAAAAAAATCGTAAATTATGCTTAGAAACCACGATTGCTTCGAATGATTCATTATATTTCTTCCATCATTATTTCACGTAATCCCAATTATAATGCTCAAGTAATAAAGAAACTATGGTTTGTACCCCCCATGTACCTGATTATTACATAATCGTTATCACTAATCAATCACCGTTGTTATCAAAACGGATAGAAAATCTTTTTTTAACTTCTTAATGTTTCCGGAAGTTTAAATGTTAAGTAAATATAAGAAATTGAACTGCAAAAAAATGTTTATTTAAATAGAATTGCTATTAATATGAGAAAAATTGTTTATTAAAAAACAATATTATCAGCAACAACTCGACAATACGACTGTGAACATTAGAATAAGCTACGTTATTTGACAAATTATTTAAATAGATTAATTGCTGATAAATTAATTAATTTCTATACACATTTATTTTATAAAAGTCACATACAATCTATTACAAGGCAGTTTCTCTTTTTTATATAAAATATCATCAAGGAACTTCAAAGTTAAGAAAAAAAATGCACTTTTAGTAAGATTGATAAAAGAGGTAAAGAAAATATTTTCTACGTATCGATCTTTAAAAATATAAATTCTATTTAAGATCAGGTAAAAATGTCTACGAAAAGTTTTGTAAATGCTACAAGTAAACCCTCCACTGCTCTGCTTAAATAATCTCCACTTAGATTAAAAATTTAGTAAATTAATTAAAAAAATATTCACGATTCAACGTTCATTTTACAAAATTGATCGGTATGGTGATGTATTTTATAAAACAGAAAACATAGCAAACTGACTTTGATTGTTAGATGGCGAAATTAAAACAAGAGCTTTTCTTTATCTAAAATTTTGTTGAAAATAAATTTTTGATTTAGTAAAAGTATCTTTATAAAATAAAATACCTATCTTATGTACGGTTTTGAAAGGTTCATGCAATTTTTGTTGTTGCATTGAAAAAGCTGAGTACTCTGTGGGACGTGACACATTACTTCAAAGATGTCTACCACCATTTATGGTGCGCAATGTTAACATTATGAAGGATAAATGTTCTATTCCCAGTGGTGGCTCGAAGTTCACTCAACTCGATAACCACAAGCTTGTTTTGGAAATAAAAACGGCCGGCTCCAATTGCTAACCACATTGGCACCATCATGCCATTAGTCTCAAACGTGTGTAGTTTAAACCTCCATGGCTAGTTTGCCCGCAAACGAATTGTTACAGAAATTTTTTCAACTTACTTTTTGCCACCATTTATAATTTAAATAAGCCTTCAAATCATCAATTACATTTAAGAATTTGACTTCAGTAATATGATTAAAGATTTAAGTTTTACTCTGTGTTTTTTCCGTTTTAGGAAAATATTGTCAAATGTATACGAATTCGAATTATATTGAAAAAATTCTTATAAAATTGATCCTTTATGTAGTAATGTTTCTTTATGAAATATTTCTAAAATTTTCAGTGATAGCTGCGTAAAAGTTGTAAATCTATATAATTTGCATTTCTAGTTTTAAAAATTTACAACAGGCAGTAGAGGATTAAAAAGTAAATCAGGACCCTTCATTTATCTATGAGCATCCATATAAACAGCCCATAAAAACCACATTTTGCGCCCCATTCAAACTTGACCCGATGGCAAAGAAACAGGGGATGAAAAAAATTTTGATATCGATCGTTAGAACATACGTATTGTTCAGCTCATCCTAGTAGTTGAAGAGCATATCTTCTTTTCTAGAGTTGTGACTTGTGTGACATTCTTTTAGCGCAAAGAACGCTTATCGACCCTAGAAAGGAAAAAAAATGAAGATTTAGCTTCGTTACTACTTCATCTAAAGAAATGTTCAAATAAAAGCAAAAAAGTAGTGAAGCCCCCCCCTCCACTCTTTTCTTTATGTTCGGTGCTCGTTAGGAGAGTATCTTGTTAGCTGCTTTTCATTAGAATCTTTACACAGATTCTAGAATAAAAAAATAAAAAAAAGAAGAAAGGATTAAAAGAAAGAAAAACATAGGGACTCGTGGTACTTGCTTAAGTAACTGGCTTTTTAGATTCGGTTCAATTCCAAAAAAAATCTACTTAGTGAAAAGTCTAGTATAATGTAACTTTTTCAGAAAATTAACATCTAGGGCTTTTAACTGAAAGCTTTCTTATGTCTTTATAATTGACACCTGCAAAAGCTTCCTTACATATTCTTTTCGTTTGTTGTTGAGGGGAGGGGGGAGGAGAATATCATCTATGCAGACGAATGACGTTGCATTCAATGAGATGAAATTAGAGAAGATAGTATCGAAGTAATAATCTTTTTATGTACAACGGTTGACTTGTATCGATTAACACATCTGAATTTTCAGTTTAAGCTAATGAAATACTTATATGTATTTCGTTAGGATAAATGGAAGACTTAGAAGTGATACCACTCTGTGATTGATGGAAACAAAACACAAAACAAGTACAAAAAAGTACTTATTTGCAAGTTTCTAACTACTGGTTATACCTAAAGTAAAAAAAAAAGTGGATAAAACCCAAATGGAAGTACATAAATAGACATACTATTGCATGGCAAGTATTTTTATGCACTTTCATTTGTGCTTTATTCACATTTTTTTTTTTAATATTTAGTTTACATGGCACAAAATTTTACCCTTTCCTTTGTTGGCTATATTGTTTTTAAATTTGTTTCAGCTCACTCAAATGGATAAGAAACAATACGTCTTTGGTCTAGATACTTATATCAATATGAAAAGTCTAAAAATGTTCACAATGTTATTTTTCATATTCAAAAACCCTTCGAATTTTTGAGTCTTATTGACTGAAGTTTGATTTCACTCGATAACAAAATTACTCAGAAAACATTATTTAATTTGTATAGGCCCCGATGCCAAACAACTGACATTTTGTTCATAAAACTTCTCAACTCTCTATCTTTTTGTCCCAAAATCCGTTCCACTTGATTCAGCATAAACGAATATATCGAAAACAATGCATCATTTGTTTTTTTATTGACGGTAATCAGCTCGCCCCTATTTTTCCTTTACAAAAAGGTGAAACGTACAGGGTGAGAACAAAGAAATTTTCTTGGTATAACAATAAAGCTTTTTGCGAAAAACAAACAAACATGAGTATTCATTTTTCCGAAGAAATAACCTTTCCTTTATTTCAATTATTAATATACGTTAGGTTGAGTTACACACAACTTCTGAAATGAGTTCGCTGTAAAATGTACCAAAAAATTTATATAAATTCTAACTATGGAGATTAGCTTGATGGTTGAACGCGTTGTTCTGCGCCACTTCGATATATACAGCAGTTTTATAATATGGAATATTAATAGTAAAAACATGGGATTACTAACTTTATCGAGAGAATCCCCCAAGAATTAGGAAAAGTTTTAAGGGCTAGAGATTAAACTCTATTTCAGAAGCAGAACATCCGATAAATAGATACTCATTGCAGTGGTTGCAAGCTTGAGTGAAAGTTGGGCAGATCGTAAGGATTGAGAATTGGATAGCAAATCATGACCGGAATTATCATTCTTCGCCAATTAAGGCGCTTTCCTACTTATGAATTGGCTGTTCATGCACATTTAGGGCAGTACTTTTTTAGAATAAATATTCTCAAAATTGCATTTTAATAAGCCTAGATTTAGCTGTTTTTTTTCAGGAAAAGTCAGTTCATCCATAAAATTTATGGTAAGGAACAGTTTTTACCATGACGGGTTTCGAAACTGTTCGCAACTAGTATGGTTAAAAAAGCATGAAGGAAACACTATATTTTTTTAAACCATTTACAACTAGCATGGTTTCAATACCGTAAAAAAACTTAAGTAGGCATTGGAGATAGTTTAGAAATTTTGTGGTGCTGCCACATATGCGCGAATGAGAGTATCGTATTCTTATAGCCCAGGATCACAAAATCGGGAGTGCAGGGCAATGGAAACTCTTTATGTGTTGAAGGAAATGTTGTGGTGTAAACTAGGGGTGCACAACCTTTTTCAGTGAAGGGCCGCATGCACAACAGATTGACCAATGCAGAGCCGCATGATTAGGTATTTAGACAGACATATGGACATCATTTGTTGGTAGCAATTGTTATACAAACATCATTGTTTTAGGCACTAAATTCCTTTTTCAGTTAACCTCGTAATATCTTTTCATAAAATTAAATACTTTCAAATGTTCAAAATTAGAAACTACAAAACTGATTACTTAAGAAAAAAAACAGAATCAGAAAATCAGAATCAATTAATGAGGAAAAATTTAGATAAATTGAAATAATTAAAAAATATGGGAAAATTCATGTTTTTATATTTGTTATGAAATTCATATTAAATCTTTAATTAAATCTTAATAATCATCTTAAATTTTTTTATCATATACAAAAGTCTATTAAAACAAAACTTTTAACATTAAAGAATTTGCTCATAGAATTATATTTAAAAAAATAAATATTCTAGTTATTAAAATACTAGAGGGCTCCCCCCCCCCCTCTCACGACCGCTCGCCANCTCACGACCGCTCGCCAACCCCTGATCACTGCTACGCAATTACATTTTTGTTCGCTTCGCGAACAAAATCGAAGTCGTTTTCCATTAGCTGCCAATTTTTCTGAACCAACATCCCATAGAGAGAATATGATAGGATTGTAATATGTCAGAGGTCCTTGTTATCAGCATTATAAACTTATATAAAGCAATTTTACTACAAATAATAATCTAAACTTATATAAAGCGAGGAAGCAATATTATTTAACACATTACTATAGGGCATTAGCTGGAGATAAATCTCCGTATTCGAAACACACGTGGCAGAGCCCAACTCGGATTGACTATATTTGAGGGTGCCACTTGATTCTCACCAAGTTGTGATCGAGGTTGATCACCAAGCTGGGCGATGTTGAAACCCAATCGTGATTCTGATTGGTTTAGATTTTAGCGTTATTTTTAATATGTGATTTCAGAGGTCCGCTAGTTCTAAGTTGGATACCGGCTGGTAAGATTACTTTTTCTTCTGGTCAATAAGATCGAAGGTATGTGGGCAGCCATAAAAAGGGACTTTAGAAAAAAATGTCATCGCCAGTTCGGTACCACAGACGCAATTTTCGACTCGTATTTCGCCGAATTTATGTGGCGATGGAGGTACACAGATTCCATTCATGATAAATTCAGACAGTATCTAACTGCTATTAGAGAATTCGGTGCACCTAAATCTGAGGATATTCAAGCTTAAGGAAGAACTGAGTTGTTTTTTTTCCTTTTCTTTCTGTGTTTACTTTTTCTTTCTGAATTTTTGTTTTGATTCAAAAGGCATTTTCTTGGGTTTTTTAATTTTGCTCATATCGGGTTCATTGTAATTTTATAAAGTTTTGTTGAAATTTTCCAATGTTTTATTGAAATATCATTATATTTTGGCAGCCATTCCTGTTACCACGGTGTTCCGCGCAATCAGGAAAGGCGCCAAACATAAGTCGCCAATTTCGACAGGGGGAAACCCATATACATTTTTACCCCTACTAACTCAAATCATTGTTGATCTTATAGGATGCCGGACGCTCCCTATATGGTGCTTCATCTCCCCTCCTCCAGTAATTCAAATTTTAAACTGAAAACAATTAAAACCTAATGAAAAAAAAACTTTAAAATATGGCAAACAAATAAAAACATGTAATATTCCAAAAGCAAAACCCATTGCAAGTAATTGCCCAATTAACTACAATACTGTCAACTGACAAAATATTTTAGTTTCAATCAGACAAAAAGCAAATTATATAATAAAAACATGTGTAACTGAAATTCGACAAATTAAATTAAGCTATTTAATTTTTTTGTCATATTGAATACTAATAAAAAAAAAAATGTAAAATGAAAAAATTATGTTATCAATGATCAATAGACATTTTTGTCTGAATTGTTATAAAAAAATAAGGTGAAAACAATAAAATTAAAAATTATTTACAATAGATCTCTGAATATTCACAAAACCTAGCTATGTACATTTTTCATTGATTTTTCTTTTCACATCATTTTCTGTACCAATGATTTGCACTTTTATGCATTAATTAAGAAATATCTCAAACAAATATGAACTGTTAATTAATATTTTTGGCTGAGCGATTTTTTGAAAGTAAGTAAAAAACAATTAAAAGTAAGAAAAAACAATGATAAAATTAAAAATTATTTACAAAACCTCCATATATACAAAATTTTTTATCAATTTCTATTCAATATTATTCGTTTTCGTTTAAACGTCTTGACTCTTCAACGTTTCTTCGCCGAGCATTTCGCTGTCGCGTATTGATAGTACTGCGATTATTTTCCCGGTGATTTTGTACTGCTAAATTATGTTCAGCTCTATGTCGCTGTTGATATCGCCTTAGATATTCACGGCGATCCATTTTTTATAAAAGATAAGTATTTTAAAGTAAACTCTGTTCAATATATTTCACACATTNAAAAACAATGATAAAATTAAGAATTATTTACAAAACCTCCTTATATACAAAATTTTTTATCAATTTCTTTTCAATATTATTCGTTTTCATTTAAACATCTTGACTCTTCAACGTTTCTTCGCCGCGCATTTCGCTGTCGCGTATTGATAGTACTGCGATTATTTTCCCGGTGATTTTGTACTGCTAAATTATGTTCAGCCCTATGTCGCTGTTGATATCCCCTAAGATATTCACGGCGATCCAGTTTTTATAAAAGATAAGTATTTTAAAGTAAGCTCTGTTCAATATATTTCACACATTCAATACAAAATAAAAATCGCAACAAGATTTAGCTGGTAAGTTTAGTTGTAACATTTCTGCAGACGGCATTATTAAAAATTATTACCTTTACACTCACATGCGTTCTCAATTTTGATTGACTGTTTTGTGCGTTGCTAACCAGAAGTCTTCTGTGATTGGCTATGTGTTATCATTCCACTCTCTTCTTATATATAAAGAAATGCAAGCTGAATACTTTGATTTAAAGACAGTTTAAAGGGTTAAAAATGATTTTAATTATACCAAAACCCCCTCAGCGGAAAATAAGATTTAGCATTTAGTAGAGAATATACTTTAACTTTAAAACATTTTTATTTTATTTTAAATTAATTATAAGAGGAAGGGGCTAAGAGATGTAAGAAAAAAAAAGAAAGAAAATATTAATTTTGTAGGAACTGTTTTCCTTAATATTAAAAGAACTATTAAGATACTTGTTCACAACTTTTTATGACGAATATTTTTTTTTAATATGACACTTCCTATTTACAATTCATACAGATATATATTAACAATTGATAAAATGTACCTACTTTACGAAACTTATCTTGATTACATTTCTTTACAGCTAAAATTTTATGATATACAAATCATTTCCCAGCATATGATCATGAATGATATAAAATGGCTTAAAAAATTTCGTAATGGTTATCCCGTAATTTGCAAAATTTTCAGATGTTGCTACTTGGTAATATGATAACTTTTTTGGGCCATTAAATGAAAATTTAATGATTTTTTTAAAGACTGCTCTGCAATTTTGAACAGGCAAATTAATTCTGGAAAACAATCTTCCGACAGAAGGTGTTGTTGTAGGTAGTATTAAACTTAGAGCAAATAAAATCAGTTTTGGAATCTGTCCTAGATGGTGTTCTTCCTTTCCCGATTTTTAAATCGAGTAAATACATATAGCAATGCGTTATTTTTAAATCGCTTGAATACGAATTGCTATGTATGATTTTTAAATTGCGTAAATAAAAAACGCCATGCGTAGTTTTCAAATCGCGTGAATACGAATTGAGATGTGTGGTTTTTAAATTACGAAAAGACGACTCACAGCCTATGATTCTTAAAATGCGTGAATATGAATCGGGGTATGTGGTTTTTAAATCGCATGAATATGAATAGCGGTGTATGATTTTTGAATTGCGAGAAGAGTAGCAACGTATGATATTTTACACTCCAGAACACAAATCGCGATATGTGATTTTAAATCTCGTGAATACGAATCGCGATGAGTGATTTTTGAATCTCGGTAATGTTAATACGAAATGCGATGTGCAATTGCTGAGATACGTAATTAAGTTACAAAAAAAAATTAAAACAGAATCGAAATTCAAGAGTTGTAATATCATGTTAAAATATCAAGATACTCTAAGTCACGACTAAAAATGCAGTAATAACGGGAAAGAAAAAAAAACACGTTCGAAAAAGCTCTTATATTATGTAAAAATCGCCACACGAGCACGTAAAAAGTATTATTTTAATGCGCGATTCAAAATTCGAGTGCTGTCAAATTATAGTATTAAAACTATCAGATTTTTTTTAAAATCACGGAGAAAAGCGTAGTAATAACTACCAAAAAAATTATCAAAATCCCTTTATATTTACGATGAAATTGGTGTAAATAAAGCGTGTCAAAATTCATGTATTTGAATGCGGGATTCGAAATTGAAGTGTCACAATAGCATATAAAAATATTGGAACTTTCAAAACCTCTTAGAAATGTGTAGCAATAATTGCCAAAGTAACGATTGAAAAATAATTTGATTTGCGATAAAATTGGTACCAATAAACGGCGTCAAAAATGGTTATTTAAATGAGCGATTCGCAATAATATCGTGCTAAAATATCAAAATTTTAATGAAATGCGTAGAAATAACAGCCGAAAGAAGGATCAAAAGTCGATACAAAGTCAGTATGAGATTTTCCATGAAGTTTGATCAAATAAAGCGTTTCATAACTTTCAAAAATCGCGATGTGAAAATGGGTTGCAATAACTACCGAAAAGTCATTATATTTAAGATGAAATCGGCACACACGAAGAGCGTCAAAAGTGATAACTAAAATTCGTACATCGTAGTAATGACGTATTAAAAATATAGGGATTTTCAAAACTATGCGTAAATCCGTAGCGTTAACCATTTAAAAACTATATCGATCGACTATATAGATTGAGTTTGGGTGCGTCAAAAACTTATATGCGTAAATTTCACATTACTGAATTTTATTTTTCAAGAAAAAAAAAATGGTTTTTGCTTTAAAAATTTTGTTCAGATTGCGGCCGCGGGCCGCACATATAGGGAAGGCGGGCCGCAGGTTGTGCACCCCTAGTGTAAATGCTGGAACTTGAACCTCCGTGCTGTCGGTCATGGGAGTGACAGATTGGCTCTCTCTGCTATAATATGTACCCATCTGCAAGGAACTTCATTAGGTGGGCCTAGTTGGTGCGATGAAATGCTGATTGTTTAATCGTATTAGGGGAAAGCAAACGGTTTTTCTCACAATTAACTGCTTGAATATCATCCGATTTATTGTTATCTGTCTGTTTTGTTTGATTATGATAAAAGGACAATCAAACAAATTGTTATTCAAACATTTTTTCCGAAAAATTTCTAAAGCATTCTCGGCGGCAATATTTTTTCTCACATCATGAGTTGCAATGTTGTTCTAAACATTTATGGTATGCTTCACCTCCCTCCCTAGTTTGTAACACTTGCATATGACAAGATTGGGAAGAGAAAAGTGGGAAATATTTTAACCTGATGCTTGAAGGAGGTATGTCTGGATAGAAGGGTGTCCTGCCGGAATAGGAAGGGCTGTGTTCCAACTGCCTCAGCTGCATGTTCAGTGAATGGGAATGAGACAGGTGTTCATGAAGGTTGCTCTGTCTTCTGTACAGACAAAATCCAATTAAAAAACTTAACAGGAGTATTCCACCTGCTGCTCCACAACCCGCCAACAGTGGAATATTACCTGAAACAGAGTCGATGAAACATTTCATGCTGTGTTTCAAATAATCACCAACTTTCATGCTTTTTTGGAATAATTAATATTTAGTTGTGAATACAGTTCCTCCTCTTTCACTTTCTCGATAGTGGATTAGGATAAAATTACAACTTTTATTATTTGTCTTTAGTTGGCATACGGAGTGTTTCTTTAAGTTGGACCTTTGCATGAATAATTAGAATTTTTATGAAAAATGAATGCAGATAGAGGATGGTCAATTAATATTCAACCTAAAAAACACCCCCAAAAAAATTATCAAAATCTGAGAAATCGCAGTAGAGGAAGACGGATTTAATGAACAATAAAACAAGTTTGATTGCGGGAAGTGGGAGGAAATAGAGAAAAGTTGAATGATGATTGGAATCAATTTCGAGTTTCAATCTCCAATAAAACTTGTTCTGATGTTTATCACAATGGCTTCCCATACCGCGATTTTTCAGATACCGATAGCAATTTTTCCCCATTGCTTGAATGTTAATTTTTCCCCCCAATGAGTACATTTTTTGTTTTTATTTTTGATGAGTATTCTAAAAGATACATATTAAGAGCAGTGTTTACGATACACCCTGTTTAAATTATTTTTCAGTATAAATATTTGAAATGACGATTATTACGGGTAAATCCACGGTAAATAATTATTATTACTTGTCAACAAAATGTCTTATCAAGTGTAGACATTTTTTTATGAATACCTAAAGAATTATGAAGTGATTTTTACATCGAAATTGAAATAGGAAAAAAACAACAACATTACAAATCTTTTATTTATTCTCTTTTGAATAGATCCGATTGTAAATTCAATGTCGAGGGGAGAACATTTAGGATCAGCATATATCATGATTCCGACATTAAATGCATTAAAATAGGAGTACATATTGATAGATTATTTTGAAGTCTCTATCACAATCCCATAATCCATCTCTAACGTCGAAAGATTAAAGTTGCTATTCCCACTAACAGTACAGCCAAATGGTATTTAATTTTAATACTATAGTGTGGTTTTGAATGTGATAGTGAAGAACATTGTTATAACGTTGCAAATTTACGAATATTCGTTATTTGTATTCAAATGATGATGCGAATACCAAAATTCTAATTTCACTCGTTGCTGATGCATTTGCAACTGTTTCAAGGGAAAAAATGTCTGAACAAATGTATAAAGTATAACTAAACGGCTGACTAATTTTCTGACGAGATTTTCTGTAAGGATATGCAAGTTGTTTTTTGACTGCATCCTGAATCACCGTATTTCTCTTTCCTTAAGTTAACCTAAGTTAACTTAAATTTTATTGCTGGGTGCTTTAATGATTTATTAATTATTTATCATTTTTCTTTTTTTAATTTATCTATTTAGTCTATGTTATTTATTTTCTATTCCATTTTATTTATTTATTCTATTTCATTTATACATTAATTTACTTATTACAATTTTTGCTATTTGATAATTTTTGTTCTATTCGGTTAAACGGAGGTCGTTAAAAAGAAGTCTTTTGTATAATATTTCTATAAAATTATACACCATGCATCTAATAAATTTCTACTTACATCTATCTTCATCAGAATAGTCTTCATTGCTGCAGTTAGGATATCCGTCGCACACAAGTGATTTGTCGATGCAATAATTTCGTACTTCTGAGCATGCGTTGTCTAAAGAGCTCATACAATAACGACTGTCTTTACACACAAACTCTTTGCATTTTCCTGACAGGGATATCATAACAGAATAAGTAATGCCATTTATCAATAAACAGTTTGAGTTAAAAATTATTTTACATATAAATAGTTCTGAAACTAACTCTAATATTTTACATAACAATTGTTTTTGAATTTGGGAAACTAACAAAATTAAAGCTATTTTGCATTTAATTGGCAAATTATTTTATAACAATGGTATTTATTTTTTGTAAAATTAACAACTTTTACAGGGAAATTATTTATAAGAATAGCATTCATATAATGTCAAAGTAACAAAATATAATTTAAACGAGCAAATTATTTGACAACAACTGTATTTAACACAGACTAATTTTAACTTTTAAACAACGTTGATAGATAGATTACTTCCGATAGCCCTCTCAGTAAATTTGTGACGCCACCCACGGCAGGGAAAGTGGTAGGTCAGATTTGTGAAAGGAAGTCAGATTGAGAAAACTATTATAAATAGTTCATATCTTATTTGATCGAAGTTAAATATTTTTGCTTTAGATCATTTATTAACACTTAAAAGTCAAAAGGTAGTGAAGGTTTAGTTTTTTGATAGATTAAATTAATGGTGTTTATCACGTTATAATTCAGATAAACATGCAGGACTAGTTATTATTTTTATGAAAAATAGAAAATAATTTAATAAAAAAAAATTTCCTTTCACTTTTAAGTCATGATTTATTAAAATTAATTTTAATATCAAAAGAAGGATATCATCAAAAGTAGGAACCTCATTCAAATCATTTCTTATTTTCTGATATATAATGAAATATATGGATTTAATCATACTATATTAGGAAATAAGAAATGATAGATTTGAAAGAGAAAAAAAAATGACGAGAATGAGAAAAATACATAACATTAAGTAAGAAAAGAGACAAATAAAGAAATTACAATACTGTTACAGAAATTAAAGCAGATTTTTTACCAATAATAATATCATTTGATTTTTAAAATTTAACTAATACTTTTCACTAGTTGTTATCAATGCTAAGAATGAAATTTAACGTAGTAAAAAAATTGTTTGCAAATCAGTATTTAGTTAATATGAAATGTTAATTTGGGACAAAACATATTGTATGTTTTAAAAATTTTTTATAATTAAAAATGAAAAAATACTCTTATTTGAAGCCGTAAATCAATTCTAAAGGAGGGAACAACAAAAAAATTCAAAATCAGTTAAATTACATTAAAGAAGGCGAGTATGCATAGCATTAAAACCTGTTTTATATAAAATAAGAAAGTGTTTTTACAGACTCACTCACCCCTTAATTGTTTGAAAAATTAGTATTATGTTTCAGATTTTTTTAACATTAAAAAAAAAAAAAAAACAATGGAGGATATGTCCGTATCGGGATCTGCCGCGTGCCAACCAGAAACGCCAAGGCATCATATATGTACATGGAACAATTTTATCCCGCCCCGCCCTTATTTAGGGCATACTGGTAAGGTTTTTCCTTATTTAGAGCATATGCATTTTAAACTTGTATAAAAATCATATGTAGTGGCTTGCCAAGGGGTGGCTATGAGTAATTAATCTTTTCGAGTTAGTACCTTTCTGTAATAATTTTTTTTGTTTTTTTGTGATAATAGATGCAGATATTTTCCCAAAAAAGTGTACAAAATTTTTTAACTTTTAAATCGTTAAAGCTGCAAGTTTTTACATTATTTTTTTAAAAAAAGAATTAGCATAATGATTACTGCTATGAATCTGTGCATCCATTTGCTTACATACATTAGATCATTTTCTATGGTTATTTTTGTGCAAAAAAGAAAAAAAAGTCTGAAAACGAAATTAAATTCGCAAATATAACATTTTTAATAATTTAGTGGAAGCTTAATCAACGCATAATTTCCTAAAGTAAATTAAGATGATTGAAAAAAATTACTTTAGTTCTATCTTCAGAAAAAAAATCCCAAGGGATTCAAATAACATATGTAAACATAAAACGTGAAAAAGTTTTGTTTCTGCTGGAAAAACTTTTTGCTCTCTAAACTTTATACATTATACAGATTGAGAGAAGAATTTTTTTTAGTGTGTTTGAAATTATTTAAAATTTAAATTTAAGAAATAAATTTTTTGCTGATACTTTTGTCAACATTCGGACGCCATGACACCTTAAAATTAAATTACAAAAACCTAATAATGAATTTCAATGAAGTTAAAAATTATTTAAGACTTCAAAAGATGCACATAAGCAATTTATCTGCGTAAGAAGGAATCAAGCCATGTGAAAATTTAACAATTAATTCCCAAAAATTAATTTATATATCATCCAAAAAATTTAAATAGCTTTTTTTCCTCAAAATTTAAGTTTCTTTTTTAGATATCATTTATGCTCTTGAATTTTTATACTTTTAGGTATAAATATTTATGAAATTTAAATCATAAAAAATATGCTATCGTTAAAAATAAATAAGTTTCAAGAACCAATCAACATTGTCATTTATGTTTTAGAAATATAACTAAGTTGTATATTTTACTAGTTTTGAAAAATGATAAAAATTTCAGTTCTTTAATGTCATCTGATATTTACTTGCGAAGATGGTTTCATATTTAGAATGAATACATAAATATTTACGCGTGACAAATTCATAAATATTTCCTGACCAAATTCTTTGATAATTTTGTATGACAACATTCGCTAACGAACAAAACATTCTTTCATGATACAATTAAGAAGCTTTTAATAAATTTTGCAAAAACGAATATTAAAAAGGAACACTTAGTCGAATATTAGCTGTTGTTCGATAACAGCCGCATTTAATTGGATACTTGCACTCCAAGAAGAGGAAGAAGACATTCGGCCTATGACGTCAGCGCCAGCTAATTATTATCAGCAAAATGGCGCATTAGTTGAGCTCTACATAACTGAGAATGTTAATGAACGTTAAGTTAATAAAATACAGAGCCGCACCGAATTTGTTGAAGTTTAATTCTTTCTTGTCTACTTCTTTTATTAAGCTTAGATCATTTATTACTTGTTTATGTATTTTACTGTAACCATGATATACATTTGTTTTGTGTACCTGGCAACTTCAATGTAGAATAAGTTTGTTTATGTTCTACATGGCTTCGTGCCTGTCTTCGTGTAAATATATAATGAAAGAATCTTTGTGAGAGAATATAGAATGTGTTACTTTGTAAGGTACTTGACGGGCTTTACCCTCTCGAAATAGAATGGAAAGAACAATTGCTAACGTAAACTAATGCAACGTTTTAATAACTCATCAGGAAAAAGATACCCACACTACGTCACTTGCAGGTATGCCGTCAAATATATACATTTTTCTTTTAGTTCCTCATTTTAGGAGAATTTGAAAATTGACACATTAGGTCCATTTTAATAATTACCTTTACATCTCGGTACAGCGCATTATTCAAAAGTAAATAATAATAGAAAGAATCGACTGTCAAACGAAGATATTGTTCAATGATAAATGTTTGAAATTGCCGGCAAATCAGTTATGAACAACAGTGCGTGACGTCATTAAAATTCCTTATTTCTCAGTGGAGCTCACTTTCTGATGTTAAGACCACTTTTTAAACATAAAGCTATATAAAGCCTAGCCTATAGCCTAACTTCACAAAAACCTTTAATTATTTTTTTCAAAAGTTAATCGTAAATATTTCTTTTATTTTAAAAACAAAGTAAATAAAGTTCCTAAATTTAATAAAAAGCATTATGGACAGTCTAGTTTATTTGAAAGAGATGCAATATTTTTGTGCTTTACCCTGAGTAAAATTTGTATTTGATCATTTAATGTTAAATGACACATATTTTGTCGAAAGGGAAGCGCTCTCTCTATATTTTAACTTGATGATACCAATTCAACATAATTTATCTGTATTTTTTTAAAATGAAGTTATTAATGATTCAGTTCAATGATTTGCCCAGGAAATCTAATTTAAGACGCAAACTGTTCTATTTTGTACGATCAAAACAAATAGACTAAAATAATAATAATACTGTCGATCTGAGTAAGTAGCAATCAGAATAATCGTAAGTAGCAATCAGAATATGTACCGGTAAATAGTAATTAGAGAAAATGAGACCGAGCAGAGTAAATACTACACTATCTACCAATAAGTATTTGGACACGTGTGATTGAAAAGAAAAACAAACTTTATTCATAATCAATAGTTGGTAGAGCCTCCATGAGAGGCAATTACAGCGTGAACCCTCCGGGGCATATTTTCCACAAGTCCTTGTGTGACAGATAGTGGTATTTTCTTCTACTCGGCTTGGAGAAGACATGTAAGTTCCTTCACCGATTTTGGACCGGTAATACACCCCTTAATTCGGCGATCCTACTCGTCCCAGAGGTTCTCGATAGGGTTCAGGTCTGGACAGGCCAGTCCATTCGATTAACCCCATTGGCACTATACCAAGCCTTGGTGACCCTCGCAACATGACAGCTGACATTGTAGTCCTGGAAATAACATGGGTTCACCCCGTAAAACTGCCACAACGTAGGAAGCAAATTGTCATCCAAAATAGTGCAGTAGGCATCTTGCACGGGAGTAATGCCGATGTTGTTCCCTACACGATATATACTGGCGGAGGTTGGTAGATAGCAGAGTTGGGCGTCGATTACAGTAATCGATTACAACTGTAATTGATTACAGATAATTACTGCTTTGTAATCAATTACTTGTAATCATGATTACGCGATTACAAGTAATCAAAATTTCTGATTACATCAGAGTAGAACAAAAATGTAATCGATTACATATTTCAATCACAGCAATCAATTACTTTAATCATGATTACAAATTTTGATTACAACTGTAATCGTAATTACAGTACTCTATTACAGTAATCAATTACTTGTAATCATGATTACAAACATTCATAATTTTGATTACAATTGTAATCGTGATTACATAACCAATTACTGTAATCAATTAATTGTAATCATGATTGCAAGTAATCAAAATATACGATTACATGTTATCTAAATATACGATTACAAGACTATTGTATACCTATATA